TGAAAAACACTTCCACTAGTATGAAGAACTTGTTAGTATGTTTTCCAAGAACATGATCATGGCTTTTGTTATGGTTTGGCATTTACAAACCTCTTCAACCTATTCAGCCTAGAATATCAGACCCAATCACTGTGTTGCAATGAGAGAACTACTATTGGTTTTATCAGCATCTACAGAGCCAAGTATAATGTATATTAAAATACATTTTTAAAAGTTCACCATTTCTCAAGGACCCACAATGATGGATATATTACTGCTGACAGATAGAATGGAATGTGGAAGTTTAGGGAAGAAAAAAGAAAGCAGAAATATTGCTCTGCAAGAAAAAAACACAAAAAAAGAGATAACTACAAATGAATGAAAGAAAAGAGAACAAAGTTTGTTGAGATCATTTGTATAACCAGAGTCAGGGATTGGTGAAGAGGAAATTTGAGGGAACATGTGTCAGGAAGGTAGAAGGAATTCAGAAGGGAGCATAATTTAACACTGAATGAAGCTCTCAGAGAGTCAAAACCTGCTCATATGCTAATAGTAAGCTTGTGTTGAAATTCTCTATACACAAGTTGGTACAAGTTATCCTGACTTGCCTGTGGAAAGTATCATTTAGATTTAATCAGTGATTAATTCTCAATCTTCTTTTTACATATACAGACACTGTGTGTATGTATGTGTGTGTATGTATGTATATATTTTAAGTCTATCCCGTAAACTCCACTAGAAGAATCTGTTTTTGTTCAATCTTTACCTTAACCACTGGTACCTAATTGATGATGTATAGTTAGAAAACATTTGTTGATGAATGAATTAAGTCTAATAATGGGTCTATTTCCTTAGCAGGTGATCAATTTAAAAATTACTCTCTTTTTTGCATCTCACGTGAGAATTGAAAGATCATTATAGTTTAGCTTATAAGAGTACACTGAAAGGCCTACCAGATAGCTCAGCAGATTAAAGTGCCTGCTTAGGTAGATGCAGGGACTGGGGTTCAATCCTTGCCATGCTATCCCACTCCCGCTCCCAGTGTGTGCTGATACAGTGACCAGGACAGTGATTGGGATGCACAGTGACATGTGCCTGTAATCCAAGAACTTAGGAGGCTGAAAACAGTAGGATCACTGAATTCAGTCTCGATAGTAAGAACCTGTAAACGCTGTACTAAATATATAAGATATATAAAATAAAATAAAATAAAATAAAATAAAATAAGAGTACATAGAAAATAAAAATAAAAAGTGTACATAGAAATTTAAGTATCTTTTATGTATCATTTATACTTTACTTTTTTATCCATTGATTTGTACAGGTTTGCTGTGTAGCCAAGGTCATTTTTTCCTCAAATATAGGAGGCTAAAAATAGGAGGATCACTATGAGTCCAATCTGTGTAGTGAGAACCTGTAGACACTATACTAGATACAGTTTTTTAAAAAGAAAGAAATTGATTTATTCACTTCTTCAGGAATCAAATTCAGTCTATTTTAGTAAATCTCTGCTTGCTTGATCAAGTAAGTTGAAACTGGTAGACTGCTAGATAGTTGTAGTAACTCAGAGAGTTCACTATGGTTTAACTCAAACATCAATGAACAGAAGAGTTTTTCTTGATAGTTGATGTACTATTTATAAAAATCATTGCATAACTAAAAATTTAAACATTAATAACTTAGCATTATTATCACCAATAACTCTTCAGTAGCAGGGCTGGAGAGATAGCTCAGTAGAATAAGTGCTTGCCTGGCAAGCTCAAGGGCCTGTGTTTAATCCCCGGTTCGAGAGAGAGAGAGAGAGAGAGAGAGAGAATTTAGTAGTGACAAAGGCAAATGGAAAGAGGGATATTCTGCAAAAATTCAAGAAATTAAAGCAGGGTTTCTCATCAGAGAGAAATAATGCCTCTTTCCTCTTCCCAGGAGTAGTTAGCAGTGTTTGGAAACAATTTTATTTCCGCAGCACTGGGACAGAGATGTGATCAGCGTCTAATGAAGAAATGTTTCAGAACACCCCACATTGCATGGGACAATCTACCTTCCCCAATTCATAACCATTTGTTCCCAAGCATCTGAACTGTCATAGCTGAGAAGCCCTCAACTAAATGTCAGTCACTACTGGCTTACTTACTTTCCCATCACTGAAACACAATACCCAGTACCCCAAGTTAAAAGAAAAAAGGTTCACTTTAGCTCACAGTTTGTAGAGGTTTCAGTCCATAGTGGGCTGCCTCCAAGATGAGGTGGCAGGGTGGCAGGGTGGAGGGACAGATCAGAGGAGACAGTCCCATGCTAGGGCAGGTATGAACCAGCAAGCAGAATCAAGTCTCCTTTTTTCTTTTATTCCATTGAGGCTATAAGGTTCCAGGTCAGTGCTACCCAAACCCAGGTCAGGCCTCCCATTTATGCATTCCCAGAACTATACTACATCAATCAGTGAGCTAATTTAGTTACCACAGATCCTTAATTCGTATTTGCACATACTAGATTCAGCCATCTATTAAAAGCCTCACCAATGAGCACATGAGGCTTTGGAAGGACATGTATAGACACAAGCCATAATAGCTACAAAACAAGTAAAGGTTATTAAAACTTATTTAATAAGAGTTATGGAAGGCTTCTCTAAGATACTGTGGATGAGTTGGCTTCAGCAAATAGAGTGGAAGCAATAGGTGGGGGAGAGCTCCAGGCAGAAGCAATGGTAAGGTGTACATTTATTTTTTGTGTGTCCATCATGTATATTTCATGTATATCATATATTCATGTTTATATGTATTTAATACTTTGTAGAATCTGCTGAATATTCAATAGACAACATGTATTGAGTGCTTAGCAAAGATTAAACATCACATTTCACTTTTTTTTACTTAATTCTTACTTTTTCCCTAGAAGTAGCTAACATTATTATTTCAAATTTACCCTGCTGAAATACAGAGAAGTAAAGTCCATTGGCTAAGATCACAGAGTAAGGTGAGCCAGCCTGGGATTTAAACTCACATAACCACCCCAACTCTCTCAAAGCTGGTTTCTTAATGACAACACTGGAAAAGTAAAAGGCAAGGGTAATAAATTATCATACCAAGTGAAAGATTATCTCAAGATACTTTGAAGGATGTGAAGCTGCAATTGAAGAAACGAGCAACTGTGGATAGCTGAAGGAGCATGGAGGTGTAGTGAGTATGCATGTTCATTCATTACCACAATCATTTAAAGTCAAGCAACATTTTTTATGGAACAGAAATGTATTTGAAGTCCATCAATGTTAGCTATAATTCAGTTATGCTGTCCCAAGGGAACAGCCCACCTGGATCACTTGGTGGCCATCCTGATTTGTTCTAAGACATAAAATTGTATGTAAGGGATAATTATGTAATATATTGTTTTACATCTTTTGATTTTTTAAAAGTTCACAAGATATTTCATGTGCTTCAAACAAAATTGTAACATTAAATTAAAAAATTATTTGATGATACCCCCTCCCTCATTATTCTGCCTTATCTAGGATTTCAGTGAATTATGCTTTTTTGAGTTTCATACTTAGCCAAGGAGGCTTCCAGTAGTTGAACTGGGACAGAATCAGGGCTGACTTCTAGTGGGATGGAAAAAAATCTACTGTAAAACACATAAAGTCACCTTACCTGAAAGCTGAGAAAGTCTGCACTGCCTACCATCAGTTTAAACTTTAGCTGGTGTTCAGTATCCACAAGAGTGAAAGCCCAGGAATATAAGCATTGCTGTTATTAAGCTGGCATTAAAACAATTCTGAACTTTTTTTAAAGAATTTTATTTTATTTATATGTGTGTGTGTGTGTGTGTGTGTGTGTGTGTGTGTGTGTGTGGCCAGGGGGCGGGGCTGGCTGGCATGTGGTGCTGGGGGATTGAATCGTGGTCCCTGTTCTTTGCTAAGCTTGTTCTAAGTAGGTGCCTTAGACCACTGAACCATCTCACCAGCCCACAATTCAGAACTTTTAAAAATCATCTGCATTTATTTTTTTGTTACTCTTTATGATATACTAGTTGGCTCTTCTTGATATTTTTAACTAGCTTATTTGTTGATTGTTTTAAAATTATACACAAGTCAGCACTTACGCAGCACAATTACGTGCAAGACACTGTGCTGGATTAAGCTCACTGATGTGAAAGCAAGTTGTAACTCATATTTAGTGTCACTTTGGCTTTGACCAGATTTATGGCAGAAAAACAGTAAAAACAGATTATGAAGATTCTGAGAAGTCCACAGTGCAAAATTTAAGAAAACTGTAATAAATAGCGTTTGCTTTGCCTTTTTTCTGTTTTCCACAGCAAACCTGTAAATACTACATTATTGTATCTCATGGCTTAGAAATTTTGGGGTCACACATTTTCTTTATTATGCATTCATTACTCTAAATGTATGTGATAAGTATTTCAGATAGTATCTTTCTCTTTGATACTGTCCTGGACCAGCTTGGCTGTGTTTTCCTTAGTTAGGAAAATATGTTTCCAACTTGCTTCAATTATTTCACACCTGGGACACACTGGCCTAGTCAAGGACCCATTTAACTCTGCTTGCTCTTCTCACACCTCTCCTGTCCTTTCCAGAATATTTCTGTCTAAAGATAATCCCTTTTAAGTAAATCTGCCTGACAATATATGACTTAATTCATGTAATCCATAGTCTGCTATGAGGTTATTTTTATTTATTTTTGTAATTTAGAGAAGAGTCTACGGGGTGTTCAGGGTCTCACTACTAGATCGGACTCGTAGTGATCCACCTGTTTGCACCCTCAAAAGATCTGGGATTATAGGCATATGCCAGCAGTTCCAGTCTCAATTGCCATCTCAGCACACTCTGAGGGCAGGGCCAGAATGGTAGGCCTGGGGATTGAATCCCTGGCCCCTGCACCTGCTTGCAGGAGCTTTAATCTGTTGAGCTATTTGGCCAGCCCACAAACCATATTTAAACTGAACTCAAACCTGACTCTGGGCTAGTGATTTGAAGCTCTGGGTTCCCCAGTTCATTAGCATAATAAGAAATTACCTTTAACTTCTTGTTTCAAGTCTTCCATTTGGTTTGATATTGGTTTTCTGCAACACTTCTGGTGCATTGGTCAGGAAGACACTTTGCTGACCATCCAGGTCACTGGGGTAGGCTCAGGCCCATCTTCTGATCTGCAGATGAAAAGATGAGCCCTCTGAGCTTGTTTTCCAGAGTCTCCTTGGCAGTACAGGGAGGGGTCCCCTGCATGACAGTGGAAACATCATCAGATCCTGGGAGGAGTCAGAACGCATCCTCGCTGGGCCCTCAGACAAGGTAGGCCTGCCTTGGCTTGTGTCCCACAGTTAGCCGCTTTACTTGCTTGTTACTGGTTTTTATCATCACCCCTCTGAGAGATTAAGGAGGACATGATCACCCCTCAGGATCTTCCATCTGTTTCAGTCCCAGTTTCTGTTCTAGTCAGAGTAGTCAGCTGCAGCTATTGTCCCAGTTAGATTTTTCCTGTGGGATTGGGGCTGGGACTATATGTTTACCTCTGTGCCTGCATGTGAATGTGTGTATATATGTGCAAAGTCACCTGGATTCAGCTGTGAACTGAAAAAGGTGATTTAATCAGTGTGAAAACAAAAGTAATTAAAAAATAGTTTGCACTATAATGGGTAAAGATATGACCAAGCTGTTTTGTTGCTTTAATACACCAGAGTATATAGGTAGGACGATGCAGATAGGTTAATGAAAAAAAGAGAAATGAAAAGACAGAACACTTGAGAAGCCACCTGGCTGGATGACTAAGCTATAGCAGAAACACAAAGAAATGCATGCTGAGATTAAACGGACAAAACAGAGGTTATTTTTCATTTCACAGTGAGCAAGGAAACAAAACAGAGCCCACGCTCTCCTCCTGGATTTGGGAGCCCCAAGGTCAACCCTTGCTTGATTGTCACTGATGTGGTGCTACCTGCAGACATCTGAAAGCTGGAGCAACTCTAGCCTGGGGTAAATAGCCCAAGTATTGTCAAAACTAAGGAAGTTTTACCAGAAATATCAAATTACGAATTTTAACTAATGGCAATTATACTTTTGTTTTTCATCTTGAGTTGATGACATAAAGCATGTTATACATTACAAAGTTTTGAGTTTACAGGGTTAACTTGCTCTTTTCTCTGTTGTTTCCAAATACGAACACTGACTCAAGATTTCTCAGAGTTCTATTTGCAGTTGGCTCAAGTTTGCTGCCTGAGGTAAAAAAGTAATAGTTTAAAATTCAAGCAGCTACATGGGGGAGGCCAGACATCTCTGTGGACTGAAGTGCTTGCTTAGACAGTCAAAGGGACTGGGGTTTGATCCCTGATTTACCATGCCTGCCCTACCCCCACCCCCACCCCCAGGACTTGCTGAGACAGCAAGTGAGGCTAGGTATGGTGGTATGTGTCTGTAATCCCTGTGCTGGGGAGGCTGAAAACAGGAGGATCACTATGAATCTGACCTGTGTAGTGAGACCCTGTAGACCATGTACTAAATACATAAAAAATTAAATAAAAAAATAAAATTCAAGTAGCTACAGCCCAGTTGGTTGCAAAAGGTTATAGCAAGTGGGAGTTAAAAAATTATGAACACGGCTGTAAATATGAGTCATACTTTTGACACGAGAGGATTCTGTATGTTAAGTCTTGTCCTGCTGAAGGGATAGAAAGAAAGATAATGACAAGACAAAAAAAGTTTATGTACATCAAGGAAAGCTTGTGGAAATAATTTATCTTGGAAAATATATGTACGGCCATGTGCGTTCAGGTTGTTCCTTCTAAAACCTTCCATGAAGGAAATGGCCAACTCAGCATGAGATTATCAGTCAGATAATAGCCTTAAAAATGCATGAAATATATATTCCATGTGTTACTCTACTCAACACTAAGATGGACATTTAAATATGTTACAAAGTAATGTCATCATGATTGGTATACTAAAATGATGTGTGGCCTTTGATGTCAAATTTTCTTTGTAAAACCATATAACTGCTGTTTGTTGATATTCTGCAGAGTTACAAATGGTAGAACAGCCATGGTTGATAAAAATAACAGTCCTTTGGTGTATTTTATATTTCAACATGCTTGATATTTACGAAAAATTATAATAATTAAACCCACTATAATGCAAATGTCACTGAACTTTACTTTTGGGCATTCAAGAACCGAAGTTTGAAGACCAAAGCTGAAAAGATGAGAGAAAAAAATGATGCTAGGCTAGGAGAGAGAAAAAAATCCCTAGTCAGCATACTTCAGATCATTAGTTGCCAAGTAACAAAAGTTTCTGTTCCAGATCTAATTACTCTTGATCCTTACGTACAGATGGCCACCCGGATGACAGACTGTCCAACTGCTAAAGTATACCTCTCATGCCTATAAAGCTAGTTTAAGATCTCTGAGCTGCCAGTGTCACTGTGATGGCCCTCACCCTTTTTGGACTGTTCTGGATTCTACAAGCTTACTCAGACTGGTAGCCCCTGGGAGAGACCAACAGCACTTTGGGACATTAAGATGAATGGTCCTGTGGCAGATGGAAATAGGGCCTGGAGGCAAGAGTAAACCTTTCTCCCCTGGGAATGACTGATAAGCAATACCCGCCTCATCATGGCTACCTGTAGCTTCTTGGCTTTTGGTCACAGTTATAAAAGGAAGCTGAGTGCTGATATTCCTGGATTGAGGAAGGCAGCACTATACACTGCTCTGCATGGTCAGGTATGTAGGAAGCCCATCCAGGAAAGAAATGGCACAGCATCCCACTCTCACTCGTTGGGGAACATACCTCCAACAGAGGCCTTTTTCTTGGCTACACTGTTCCCAGCCAAACTGGCAGTGGTTTGGGGACTCATGATATACACGGTCTATGAACCAAGAGGACAAACTACAGCACTTGATTCTTATTCCCCATACAGAAGAAAAAGAGGGAAGTCTTGCTGATGCTGGATTACTGATGGGTCTAGTCATTACCCAAACTTGCAAGGGACAGCAGCTCTTGTCCAGCCTAATACAGCAGTAATATGTTTTGGAACCAAAACAGGCAGATTAAGACAACAGAGTTACAGACAGTGTGACTACTTGTGATGCACAAGAAATGGTCTATCTTGGGGGTTGGGGGAGCTAACTCTCTGGCTACTAAATTGGGCAGGTCAGGAATGACAGATAAGACACCAAAAAAAAAACTGATAGAGATCCAGGCCTGAAGGCATTACTCCAGGATCAAATGGGCCCATCCTGATGATTGCAGGGAGGCCTACCCTCAAGAATCAAGCTCTCTAAAGACCACCTTGAAGAGGAAAAGCACTCAAAACCCTGTCCTCGCCACCCTGGAAGCTGGCAGATCTATATATATTTGAAGATGAGGATACTGTACATGGAGTGCCCGTCCTAATTAACTGATGCTCTGCTACCCAGGCTGGTTGCTAGTTCCTTTTCTTTTATTTGATTTGGTGTCAACTGCAGGACTTTGGGCTATATCACCAGGGGGGTGGGAATTTCTTCTCAGGATTGCCCTTGTCCTTGTCTATGTTGATGGAACATTAACACTGGGTGCCCTGAACTGCTTCTCTATGTTTTAAAATGGTTGGTAATTTCTTCCTGTGATCATACTGTTAGTCCAACTCCTGTTAGGTCGCCTTACATTGACATTGTTAGTAAGTTTAATGTTCTGCTATGCTGTCTAGTTTTTAGTTTCTTGCTGCTCATGGTATTCATGGTCTCTCTATGCCAGGACTCCAGAGGACTGAAGTCCCCACAAAAAGACTGAGTTTGTTTTCACACATGTAAACATAATTCTTGTGTTGCTTACTCTTACCTGCTTAAAGCAAAATTAAGATGACTTTTCTGTGGATAATATATCTAAATATCCTAGAAGTACATGCAAATTCAAGAAATTCAAATTTATCGCGTGAGTTTTGTCATAATCCTGAATGATACTAAGAGACTCCTAACATCTTACACCTGATTAACAGCAACTACCAGGTCCTTCAGGCTGTAAACCTAGACCCAGGCAAAAACTGTTGGCTCTGTGTCCCCCCTTTCCATCCTTTCCTATCAAGGTCTAGGCCTCACTTGCCTACTTCAGCCTCTTCTTATGATGGTATGGGGAAATACTTCTTGTTTCCTGGGTTCAAGGGCGAAAATGCTTCTACTGACTATGTAGATGTATTAATTGTCTTCACAGGTTCTCTGGCAGCCTCTCTTGGGGCCCTCCTCCTTTGTGCTGATGGGATACATCAAGCATTTGCTAGCACCAAAACAATTTTTCGTGCACTTGCTTTTCTGGTACCCAATCAGAACAAGGACCTGCTCATGCCCATCACTCACATGAAAAATGTGGCCCCGTGTCATTGCCTATATTAGCTGAAATAGCTATAGCAGAGAGTTTAACACTCAGTACTGCAGCTACAGGTGTGAGCCAACAACACTTAACTCACAGTTAAGTGCTCAGATTGGTGTAGATTTTGCTGATGTACAGATGTCAATAGACACACTACAGGACCAAACAGACCCATTAGCCATAGTTGTCCACCAGTGTGAAAGAGCAGTGAGTCAAAGAGCCTCAGATCTCCTGATAGCCCAGTGTGGGAGGACCTGCCTGAAGGAAGACTATTGCCACTGTGTTAACAAGTCAGGAATAATGAGAGACAACTCCTGTCATCTGAAACAGGCTACAAATCTTACCAAAAGCTCTTCCTGGTGGGGATCTTTAGACTTTCTCTCTTTCTGGACAGGAGCCATGCTAAATTCTTGTGTGATCCACATTCTGACAGCTCTTTGACTAACATTTAAAGCTATGCACCGCCAACTTCTTTTATGGGCCACTCCAGTCTATCAGCTCCTTAACACTGAAAAAACTGGGGAAACTGAGGAAGAAGATTCTCCTCTGTAACAAAAGTAGGGGAAGATGTTATGGCACATGTATAGAAGAGCAGACTTAAAGGTTTATTAAAAGTCAGATCTTAGTTCATAGCTTATGCTGCCTGTCACGTAGCAAGCCTTAACTGCTTAATCCCAGAGGTTTTTCCTTAACAATGTGTGGGCCAAACTGCCTGTGTCTGGCTTCTGTTTAAAAATATGCAGTGATTCCAAGTTGCTTCCAGGGCTTCCAGATTGTCACGTTTGGGGGAAGACTGGTACAGTCAACTTGCCTGACAATACTGACATAATTCTTGTATTTCACATAACCAGTCATATAATATTCTGCTACCAGCTTCATACTTTTAATTGCCAACCATATTACTTTTCATTTTTATAGTTTTACTATTTTGCTGGCCTCCTGAAGGTGGGGCTGGTGTGGCATGTGGTTCTGTGATTGAACCATACTCCCCTGTGTATGCCTCAGCTTGCCTAAGTAGGCACTTTAGCTATCTTTTCTTGCCAACCGTATTTAAACTGAACGCATATCTGACTCTGGGCTGGTGAATTCACTGTCTGGGTTCCCCAGTCTGCTAATCTAAAAAAGTTGCTTTCTAACTCCTCGGTGCAAAGAGTCTTCCATTTGGTATGGCATTGGTTTTCTGCAATGCTAAGTCTGCATAAATAACAGCAGGCAAAATACTCCAAGCAGCAAATATTTCCTCATAGGACTGATGTCATCCTTTCTTCAAAATTGATAATCTGTTCATTTATACTTCTATCTTATTATTCATATTCCTCTGGTTATGCCACACCAGGCCCACCCCTGAGAAAGTTGAGCCAGTCACTGACCGGGCGTGGTGGCACATGCCTGTAATTCCAGAACTGGGGAGGCTGAAAATAGGAGGATCACTGAGTCTGAGTTGCATAGTGAGGCTATGTACCAAATACATTTAAAAAAAATTCCTCTAGTTATAAAAGTATATCTTCACATAGATACCTGGAAAAAATAAGAAGATTTTAGATATGACTAGTATGGATTGAAGGTTTACACTCCCGAAAAATGAATCTGAGGATATAGTCCCATTTTAAAAACTGCACCAGTGTTATTTAGAATCCCTTTTATTTCTATTAGTGCATGTTTGCAATCAGAATAGTGATATTCATTCTGGGGGTTTGGAATATACATAACATATCTTGATTATTTTTAATTATTTCTGTTTGCTAGAGGCCAGAACAGAAACTTTATCAACAGGACACACCTGTGCTCTGCATGCCAGCTAGTTTCCCACTTGTTTTACTGTAGTCCACTGCAAACCTTTTGATTCCAAGTTAAGATTCCAATGTGAAGTTAGAATCATTCAGTCCCTGGTGGTTCATAGAAATCAGTTTCTACTAGAGGAGAGCTTGCACCACAACGAGGAACTTCCTTTTCTCCTGGCTGTTCTGTGTTTATTTCAGTGTTGTAAAGAACTCTGGAGGCTGAGTCAGGAGAACAGCAAGTTCTAGCTCAGCTTCAGAAACTTAGTGAGACACTGTACTGAAATAAAAAGTAAAAAAAAGGCTAGAAATGTAGCTTGGTGCCAAGGCCTTGAATTCAATTACTAGTAGCAAAATAAACAAACAATAAACAAACCAAGGAACCTCAGCAATGTGTTGTGTGGCTTCAAGCTCTTAGGCAGGATCTGATGCTCACAGCATCACTGACCAGGGACACTTTAAGGATGGCCTGGACGTCCACAAAGTGGCAGATACAGCCTGTGAAGGGTTTGCTGGGTGCCAAGTGTGTTATGGAGACTCTGAAAAGAGAAGGAAACAAAAGCAAACTTTTTGTAGATTTTTTTTCAGTGCTGTGGATTGAATTCAGGACCTTGCACTTGCCAGGCATGCGCTTATTCTACTGAGCTATCTCCCTGGCCCAAAAGCAAAAATTGTAACAAAGGCCTTCCAACCCTAAATATTTCCTGCTGATTAAAAATGTATAATAAATTATTATATGTCAGCAATGAAGTAGAGGCATAATTAGTTCTGAGGAATAGCATCTGCTTTTTAAGTAATATGAACTCATGCTACTTTTGATGTCTGTCATGTTTCTATGATCAAATTTCCAAGATTGAAATTTGCTTTTTTTATTTTTTTGGTACTTTAGTAAGGGTCTACAGGGTCTTACTTTGTAGATCAGACTTGTAGAGATTCTCCTGTGTTCAGCCTCCCAAAGAGCTGAAATTACAGGTGCGTGCCACCACACCCAGTCTCAAATGCCCTCTCAGTACGCCCCAGGGGCGGGGCCAGCACAGCATGCCTGGGATCAAACCCCAGCCACTGTATCTGCCTAAGCAGGCAGTTTAATCTGCTAAACTATTTGGCTGGCCCCAAAATATGCTACGTTCATGTAAAGCTTCTGTGTTGACTTTTCATGATCTACCTGTACTTTTTTTCCTTTTCAGTGCTGGGTATCAAAACCAGTCTCACTAATGCTAGGTAAGTACTGCACCACTGTTTATACCCTCACTCTTCCCATGTGTGCCTTTTAGAATTAATTTAACCTGAGTTTTAGTATTCTGTGTGCTTTACTTAGATGAAGAAAAGAAATTATAGCTTCTGTAATGATTTAAGTCTAAAATACACCCCCTAAATCTCAGATACTCAGGGTGGGGCTTTAAGAATATGATTGGATCATGTAAGCACCACACTCATCAGTGGATTGATCCATTGATGAATTTATAGCTGAGTGTCCAGTTAGCAGGCTGGACCTGGTTTGAAGAGGCAGATCACTAGAAGTATGATGTCAGAAGGTGTGGAGCACCTGCCTTGCACACCACCCTCCCACTATGTGTTTCTGTCTTGGAGCCAGCCCACCATGGGTTGACGCTTCTGAAACCATGAACCAAAATCAATCTCTCCTCCTTGATGGTGTTTTTTTTTTTTTTTTTTGTGTGTGTGTGTCCTTTACATTTCAGGTATTGGTTATTTTAGATTTTGTTCTGAGCAACGAAAATGAGCAATGTAGCTTCTATACTATTTTTGGATACAGTTATATTTCTTTTTGATCCATATCATTTTCTATAAATCTCTATGATTTTGTCAAACTCAGTGGAAATAACGAACAAAAATAAACTAAAATTTATTTTTCTCTGAGCTCAGGGTTTAAGAACTCTAAATGGAGAAGTGATAAGTACTCTAGTCTTTGTGAAGCGCTGATGCCCTGTTGTACACCAGGAGAACTTTCTTCCCTTATTTTAATTAGCTATCTAGAAGAAGCCTTATTGTATTAATTGTACAGCCACACTTAAACATTGCGATGGTAGAAAAAATATGATTTAAAGCAATTTACCCAGCTAAGAAATATCATGAAATTGAAATCTATTTAGGCAAAGCTACTATGCAAAAGTGGCTATGTGAGCAGTATCAGGTAAAAGATGGAAAATATTTAGAAACAGTAACTCAGGAAAGAACATAAAACACCAGATTAAACATCATCGAGCAGCTGTAATAAATTTTCCAAGCAATTCACCATAATTTAGTATGCAAAAATTGTGTACTAACAATAACTTATCAATATTACATTTCATTTTCAGAATGATAATCATGAAGTTTTAAATTTGGAAGAGGCCTGAGAGATCAATTTTCTATTGTCTTTACATTAGTATATACTCTTCAACTCTGTTCAGTGTTTGTCAGGATCCAAATTTTAAAAAATGAATATAAAAGCTTATGAGGGGTAGAAATATCTAAGACTTCTGACAACATTGAGTGTTAGATTTTAAATGTGGGCTTTGATTATATCCAAGTTTTCCATCCTTCGGTTCATGGAGGAAATCATTTGGAAAAATAATTCATATAGCACAGTTATCAGCTGCAAAGTTATAAATTGTAAGTAGTGATAAAATGTGCCCCAGGATTATAAATGATTGGTTAATATAAATCAACACTTGATTTTGAGGCCAATTTCCAAAATTGAAGGCATGACTATAATATAAATAATGTGGGATTTTCAGCATAGAAATGAATGTTTACATCTATATGTAAGCTCTATTAATTTAAAGTTGCTATTATACAATAGTGTTGACTTATTTTGTAAATAGTCCTATGAATTGTACACGTTACCCTTTTATGACAGAAATAAGTCACCAGAGTTCATGAAGGAATACGTGTGAAATCTACATGAATTGAGGGCATATAAGGTTTTATTTATACATTTATCTTTCTTAGTGCCCTGTGATGCTAGTGGAATTAATCGTGAGCGACTTCAAATAATATAATTAATTACATTCAACTGAAATTATAATTGCTTTTATTCTAGGCTGGAGTGATTCCTGGATTGAACCGCAACCACTGCTCAGGCCTTCCGAGTCTGCTGCCTCATGTACACTCACTTGTCCATTGAACTTTGCTGTCCATCATGTCTCAAGTTGACTGTGGCTTCAGGTACTCTTGCCTACACAGTCCGTGAAGCTTAATGATAGCAGCTGTGGTACTGAGATCAGACTCTAAAATAAAGTCATAGAGAAGTATTAGTGTGTAGAATGTTCTAAACACTGTGGTATAAAGGGAAAAAAATTCCTCTAAGGTCCATGAGGAACGACGATGCTTGTTTTGTCCCTTGTCTGGAAGCCTGCCTTGTGCCTTGGAGACATTCACTAAATGTGCACTTAGTGAAATCACATTCCCTCTCAAGAAGAAGAATACTATTTAGCTTCAAGATTCTGTGGTGCTGCAACAGTGGTGTGTACACAGACCTCCTTTCTCAACATTATGAGCACAAACGATTTGTGCGAAATACGCTTCTTTTACACAAATGGGTTTATTTTCATACATTTTCATACATGTGTATGTCTAGGATACTTGAGTCAAAATGCTTTCAATTCTGTTTAAGGACTACTTTAAGAAAGCCTAAGTGAGATTTTATATACACACATGCGGCGTCTAACAAAGGTGATAATAGAGCACACTCAGCAATAAGCAAAGAAAAAAACTAGACCACTGTAGGGTCTGGAAGACTGCTAAGCGCCACAAACGCCTACTGGGTAAGCACAAGGTTCTGAGGTGGTCCCCGGTACCAAATAAAAAGAGAAATTAAGGGATGGTGAGAAATTACACGCTTTGGGCGGCTGCTCCTGTCTCAGAGCCGCTGGGCGCGCGCCCTCCGCTGGTCAGGAAAGGCAGCGCCCCGTACTCGAGGGGCTCCGCCCCCGCAGCGGCCGCACCGCCCGGGACCCCTCCCCTCTCCTCCTGCCTTGAGATTGTGAGAGTGAACGTGGCGGGTGTAGTCCTGAAATATTGTGTCCAAAGTATTTTTATCTGTTTCTGAAAGAAAGTTTGCGATGGGGAAACCTACAAGAGGCGCTGGGCACCTGGTCGCACCTCCGTTTTTATGGCCATAACGTCCCCTCAGAACTACGCGGAAGCCGACGCCCAGGCGCCTGCGCGGTTCTCATAGGCGCAAGCGTGGGCTGGCTGCGCGTCCCCGCGGAATGGCGGATTCGCGAAGGAAGCGCCCCAGCGCCCAGTTCTAGGGGACCTTGGCGCCGCCCAGCATTCGCCGGGCTCAGTGCAGGGTGGTGCGGAAGCCTGGAGCGAGATCGCCCTGGGCAGTGAGTGCTGCGCAGGTGTCAAACAACAGACGCCTTTAAAGGACAAAGAAGCACGGGAATTTGCGTGACACGCAGTCATCAGCGGGGTGGGGACAGGGCGCCCGGCACACACAGTAAGCAAGGATTTAGGAGGCGCCTGCTGGGCAACCCTTGTGAGTACAGGGCTGCAGACCAGCCTCGGGCCCCACCTCCACGTGACCCAGGCTCCTGTGAGCTCCACCAAATGTGAACTTCGGGACAATGAACAATTGTTCAGTATAAGCGTGTCGCCTGTGAACTGCATCATCTCCCTGGGCATGTGCACGCTGTTGTCGCCCTCTGTATAGTGAAAGCCCACAGCCCCCTGCGTGGAGCATGACTGCATGGTCGCTCTGCTACAGGCCTCGGGAAGAAGGACCTCTGCAGAGCAGTAGCCTGCAGGAAAGGCTGTCAGAGTGGGTGGGCGGCAGAGGTGGAACTCGTGATGCACTGAGCTGTCCTGTGAGGGAGCAGCTGCCAAGGGGCGGGCGGAGGGAAGGTTCCCTTGTGTAGGTAGAGCTCCTCCTGCCTGGCTGCACCTCAGATGGCACTTATTGAGTATGCAAGATGGAGCAAAAGAAGGTATTGTGGAGGAGCGTGAGGCAGCGACCATATCCGGGTTTGCAAAAACAAGTAGAAAGAGTTGAGGATGGATTGGAGGAATTGGTAAATCTGAATGGAGGCGAGGCAACCTAGATTGTAATAGGTCAACTCACATTTTTTATTATAAATATAAATCTTGTGTTTTCTGTTGTGTAAAAATGTATACTCATCACTGTTCTAAATTGTTTAGTAAGTAGTGGCTGTTTCTTGCTGTATGCTGGATAAAATTCCTATAACCCTCACCAATTCCTGTAACCCTCACCAATTCCTGATAACAACTTTAGCTTACAGAGATGACTTCAAAATGAAATTAAATGGGCTATAACTTTTTGTAACTTGGGGCTATGCAAGGCTGCCTGCGGGTACCCAGGTGCAAGATGGCCAGAAACTAACACAAAGTCCCAGGAAATTTAGTTTGACTAGTGGTCACAAATATCCTGAAAGCATTGTTTTGTGTCAGACAATGAATTTGTTTACCAAACAGAATATGGTTCCATGTTTTAAAACCTCCCTGCTTACTGGGCAAGGAACCTTTCTGTCCACTCCTGCGTGAGAGCTGATAGTTGGACCTGAGCTCAGTAACAAATGGCTTTCCAAATTCCAATCTGGCTGATCTGTTTCCTATTCTGAGTGACTCATAACATAGAGGACATTGTCAGAAGTCAAAGATTCGTAAAAGTCAGAAAGCATTGATATGGACTGGAATCTTCAGACCACAAGTCTACCCTTCCTGCCATTCTTCCAAGGATCCTCCCCTTCCAATTACACTACCCTTCTCCTGTGCAGTCATCTCTAATCAGGAATGGCACGGCACATTAGGCATGTGTTTCCTGAAACATCAGCACCCCCACAGTTGGAAATTCTTAGTCCTGATCCTTTTTTCCTCTCCCGTACTACTGTTCACATGGCTTTTTAGTGCGTGTAGTTAATCAATTCAGCCCTCTTTTGCATTTGAGGATCCTTCTGCAACCTACACTCTCAGGGCCAAGTGACAGTGAATATATCACAGGATATATCACAGGCTGCCATTTGGCCTGGTTTGCTCTGGGCCATAATGTGACTGATAGATCAGGTTGCAAAGTTTGCAAGGCACTCTGCCCCAAACACTCTCCCTCTTGGATTCCCAGTCACTGTGGCCCCCTTGGCCCCATGCACAGCCAAGCCCAAAAACACAGAACAGGTCCCCCTTGCTTTTACCACAGAACTGCCCTTTGTTAACATGGAAAGTCCCCCACACACCAGGTAGCCCTGCCAAGATCAACTGTCCCTCAGCTGTTCCAGCCCATGGTCATCCTCTCTAAAGGATCCAATAAAATCTCCTCCATCCCCCCTTTATTTGCTGCTGTCTTAGTCCACTAGACAGCCAACCTGCTTACCATTCCCAGTAAATCTTCTCTTGTCAGAATGCCTGGTCTGGTTGATTGCATAGATTTGTACCTAACAGTGACTCTTTAAACCCTTGGAATGAGGGTGTCTGCCTATTCCTGAAGAGCGTGATCCAAGGCCCATGCAGTTGGCATGGCAGGCATTGCATGGCTCTCACTTCTTGCTCTTTGCAAGCTGTAAGCTGGACAGGAGGTCTTCACAGGCAGACCTGCTAACTCTTCACCCTCTCTCCCGGTTAGGAGACAATGGCCACACTTAAGTCACCAAGAGAATGCACTGTTATTGTTCAATAACACTATGTATCCAGAAAAAAAAAGAAAATAATCATTCTATTTCATGCATGTATTATAAGAATTATGTTGGGAACTAGAAGCTAGAGTTTTGTTGTAAGATTGGCATCTGCTTGCAGTAGTAACAAGGGTGTATAGGAACAAGGTAAGAAGGGCAGTAATTAGTTGTAGCAGATCACACAGGTGCAGTGGATGAATATGCAATTGCAGGTTATATTTTTTGTTTGTTTGTTTTTGGCCGAACCAGGGATTGAACTCAGGCCCTTGCTCTTGCCAGGAAAGTGCTTATTCTACTAAGCTATCTCCCTGGGCCCTTAAACTTGGTAGATACTAGGTGATACTAAGAGGAATCCTTTTAAATATCCAACAAGTGTGTACCAAGCACCTATCATGTAAGTGTCCTTCCTCACAGCAGAGTGCCCAGCACCAGGCTGCTGGCAGGGTTGCTGGAGTAATAAGGTGCTAGATTCTGGCCTTGCCAGGAGGAAAGAGAAAGCCAGAAGTGTTGGCACAGGTGCTGTGGTACTGGTGTTAGGCTTGAGGCCTGTGAATTTTCACAGGAGGGGACACTTACAAGGAATGTTAGTCTTCTGAGTTTTTGGGGCATTTGTATGACTATAGCTCCACAAATTCATTGTCTTCAATTTCAAATGACCTGGCTCTTAATGCTCTTCCCCTGCTCCACCTGGAGGTGCCTTATTCTAAGGGACCACTGGTACATTGCTCTTCAGCACCTCCTCCACCAGCAAAGTAAGCAAGCAACAGTCCAAGAGCTCAAGTAGGTGTCTGAAGCAGCTGTCAGACCTTTCATCTCCAGTTTTTTAAAGTTTTGAGTTAATGTCCTATTGTACAAGTCCACATTGACACTTGAGGCATTGCCATCCCACACAGTTCTTCAGAGGATGTTGCTGAGGGAAGAGCCCCTGGGTGAATCTCCTGGAGGTACCAGGGGTGCCAAGTCCCTCTGGGCTCCAAACAATCCCTAGGCTTCACCAAACTGCCTGAGAATCCTGTTCTCACCCATCTCATGGGTGGTACTCTGCTTCCTCCTCTTTGCATCTCTTTAGTGAACAAGACAGGATCTCAAATGGCAACATGAAGTACCTCAATAGCTTGTTTTCTGTTTGGAGGACAGATGTAGAAGATAGGAAAGGCCTCACTATGTTTTTCAGAGCCAGAAGGTGAGCCAGTAGAATAAAAATGTTGATATAAGCAAGTACTTTGAACATGACAATGTACAATATTAATAACCATTGTTGCTTTGCATCACCTTGTTTTGAAATTCTCTATGTTTTTTAATGTCTATCTTTGTTTGTTTTTTGCTTTTTTATGGTAACAGGGATTGAACTCAAGACCTGTGCTTGCCAAGCAAGTGCTTATTCTACTGAGTTATCTACCTGGGACCTGTGTATCTTTATTCTTTAAAATAAATGTAATCTTAAAAATATTGAGAACTCAATAAATTGTCCTGTAACAGATCTTTCATTCATAGGCCCTGTAGAGTAGCAGAGAAGGGTGATGGACTCCTTCACATCTTGGCTGTACCTCTTTCTATCCATGTCATTGTGCCCCAGCTTCCTCAGAAAGAAAATAAGATGATAGGAATGGTACCCATTTCACTCTGTGGCTGTGAGGACCGACCAACCGATACACATCAGTAAGTATGATATGTAGACATAGAGAAAATGATAGCTGTTACTGTTACTAAACCTGTACTTCTACTGATGTAAAAAGTGATTCTCTTATAAAGTATTGCTATTCCAAAATGGCTCATTTCCCTTTCTCTCATCTCTGTCTGTCTGTCTGTGGTCGCTGTATTCTGACTATTGATATCACCCTCTCCACAATCAGTGAGATTGGAAATTGGATAAGGAACAGATGACTCAACCTGTGTGAAGCTTGCTGACGAAGGCTATGAGTCCTGACCTTTGCCTGCCTAGTTGGTGATGCTCACAGAAGAAAAAACTATTCTAGTTGTGGTGATCCTAACAGAATGTTTTTAAGAATGTTTGGAAGGATGTGGTGCTCTTTGTTGTGTAACAGATCTTTGTGGAACTTGCCACCATTAGAGATGTGTGTCTTGCCAGTGAAGGAGCCCTGGCCCAGTGACTTCTCCCATCTCCTTACCTCATTTCATTTCTGAACTCTTGAAGCCTCTTTTAATCGGAGATGTCCCCTGTACCCCCAGCCTAAAAGTTGTCTCACACAGCATTCTCTCTTATACCTTTTTTTTTAAGGAAGGGTCTGCAGGGTGTTCAGGGTCTCATCACTAGACTGGACTTATAGTGATCCACCCATTTACAACCTCCCAAGGGCTAACCCTAAATCCTAACCCTAACCCTAACCCTTACCCTATCCTCATGCTAACCCTAATCCTAAACCTAACACCAACCTTAACACTTTCCTAACACTAACCTTAAACCTGGTACTAACCCTAACCCTATGTCTTAACTCTGATCCTATCCTTAGCCCTAACTCTAACCCTAACTCTATCGTAACTCTAACCCTAAACCTAACTCTACCCTAACCCTAATCCTTAC